TGAATTAAATCGTGTCTTTTCTACTATTACCTTGGTTAACGCTAATAAACAAAAATCATGCTCCTCAAGGTGAGGCTGGCTCCAACCTTGTTAGCCTTCTGGAAGATAGTCAAAACATGGTTTTTGCAATGAACTTGGGAATCCAATGTTTGAGTGAAGCCTTTAGATGGCTATATGATAGTTCAGAGATCACCAACCTTTCTGGGTTGGCGGACCAGAGGGAAAGGGAAGGGGAAGCATTTACACGTGTGCATGCTTGGGATGCAAATGAGGCGGGGCTAGTGCCATGATACTAACCCTGCCCTGTTCTTGCACAGTGCAGCGCCCCATTTTCGCGCCCATTGCAGCGGCGTCCTGTTTTCAAACCCCAAAGCGCATCATTGTCCCATTTTTGTGCCCCGCAGAATAGCAGCATCCCGTGTTTGCACTCTGCAGCGCAGTGGCCTCCTGTTTTTGCGCAGCACAGTGGCATCTCATTTTTGTACTCTGCGGCCACAGTGCTACTACGAGTGGGGGTGCGTGCACGCACATGCACATGGACTGGCCAGCCTGCCCTGTGGCCTGGTGGCCAGCAGGCCATGGCCCACTACCGGGCCACGGCCCACAGGTTGGAGATCCCTGTGATAGTTAATCAGATGCACTCTTATATGATTTCTTGACATGCTGTATCTTTTGTAGTTTTTACCTTGTTTTTATTATTAATTGAAATTGTGTTTTTAATATTTTTTATGTACTTTATTAGGTATTTCCCCCCAGAGTCACTATATAAAATGGATACCTATACAAATGTAGATAAATGGTAAAATCCATACTGTGCCCAGTTAAAACAACTAGACAATAGAAAAATCAGGCATTTCTAAGTGAAGAACCTGAATGAAAATGCTTTTCTGAATGAAAAAGGCTTTTCTTAACATTTCAGAGTTTTGTTAGTATTTTGCATACAAGGGTTACAGATTAAATAATAATTCTTACTGCACAGAGTACATTTTATGCAGATATAGTAAAAAGACAAAGAAATCTGACAATTGAAAAATAGTTATTTTAAACACTGCTCTCTATAAAACACCACACACACGGGCCATACTTAATAAATAAGCAATCCATTCACATTAGACTTTAAAGAGTTTCTTTTATAAAAAAAATGATGAAACATATACTGGAAATTTAAGTTTTTTTATTTATTTTAAAATGGATATTTTTTCCGCTCACAACCTGAGTACATATGTTCCTACTAGTTAGTGGCTTGTTTGCAAGGAAATCTCTATAATAAATGATCCAAGTTTACCTAGAGCAGTGTTTCTCAACCTTGACAATTTTAAGGCATGTGGACTTCAACTCCCAGAATTCCACAGCCAGCATTGCTGGCTGTGGAATTCTGGGAGTTGAAGTCCACATGCCTTAAAATTGTCAAAGTTGAGAAACACTGACCTAGAGTAATAATATTTTTATTTATAGTCATTGACTAGTTGTATATAGCATACAAGATACAACTAAAACAACCTTGAAAATTAAAAATAACTCTATAAAACATAAAATGGTACAATCACTACTGAGAAAATGGAAAATAACATTCATCTGACAATATTATATAAATAAATTAATTTGGGCATATGAGATTTCTCCTCTGATCCCTGGACTACAAATCAGGGTGTCATTTATCGTTATCATTTTAAACCTGCAGAGATGGTATTATTAGCAAATTGCATGGTTTTAAAGCCAGATAAAATCCAAATGTGTTTTCTGATAGCTGTCAAACAAAATTTGGCTATGGAATTTTTGATGTTGTTCTGACAGTCTGATATGAATGAAACACACCTCAACCTCTGAGTCTGATTAATCTTTTCCAAGAGGCTCATATAATCGATAGAAATTGCAACACATTATTATATGACCTATGCCCAATCATTCAGAGTAGAAGCTCCACCCATCTTCAACAATGCATTTATCAAGCTGGCTAAAAAGAGCTTTCAAGGAATAGGGCGAGCATACTCAGGACAAAATTCAATTTGAAATATTGGCCAAATGTGCCAAAACTGAACTCTAAAATCCAAACTGGAGGTCAATATCTATCACCTTCCTTGGGTGATGATCATGGCTTTAGAAGAGTACAACACAGAAGAATAGTAATGAACCTGAATTAAGGAATAAAATAAAGAAAAATAACTACGTTGTGCTTTTATAAAACTAACAAAACAAAAATGTTGTAACAGAATGGAATAAAATGATGGTCTGATTTTTATACAATTGATAAATATATTCAGAGAAATAATGATGTAGATGTATGTATGAAAGGGCTAAAATATATGTCAAAATGTCAATAAATTATCGTTGTTGCTATTGTGGTGCTTCTGTAAATAGGACTTTACAAGCAAATGACAGAGCATGTTAAATTCCAGTGAATACTGACAATGGAAGAACTAGAAATTACATTTGGGGAAAATTGTACAATATTTTGAATGAATGCTATCCAGCAGGTGTGGGGGGTGGGAATCAACTAAGGGACATGAATATATGGGTAGGAATAAGATGAGAGAGCACTGGGCTGTTTGGAGAAGAATGAATGAATGAAAATGGCTGTTTGATGAGTATCTGCTTAGAAAAAAAGTTTAATTGGAATATACAGTAGTTTAGGCACCACTATCATGTGGAGTGTCCTTACTTTACTGCTGAATCAAGTCCTTTAAGCAGAAAGAAAAGAAAGAAAGAGAGAGAGAGAGAGAGAGAGAGAGAGAGAGAGAGAGAGAGAGAGAGAGAGAGAGAGAAAGAAAGAAAGAAAGAAAGAAAGAAAGAAAGAAAGAAAAGCATCACTGCAGCTAGTGCTTCACTCCCTCCCTCTTCCTCCTCTCTTTCTTACTGTAATTTTCACTGAGATCTGGCCACTGTAGGAAACTGACAAAGCCCCACCTCTGAAAGACTGGGAGGGAGACGATGATGATGATGATGCCAAGGACCAACGAAGCATTGACTTCAAAATGGGTGGGTGGAATTCTGAGGAGTTAGGAAGCAGAATAAGGCAATCATGTCTACCAAAAGGAACCTGCCCAGCACACAGCTCTACGGAAAACAGTGCAAAACTATCTTCACAACATTTTCTCTGGAGCAGCTAGATTAGAAATTAATTGGCTTAGGTAGCAAAACCCTCATAAGCATCAGAGAATTTTGGGGAATAGAGGAATAGAATGCCAATCCCAGATCAGCAGAAAAGAAACTGTCCAAGGCCTCCTTTATCCTAAACCAACCTTCAAATTGCTCCCAAACATTCATTCTTACATTTCTTTTCCAGAAGCTCATTATATCCCTGAGCCCTCAGCTTACTCTCTGATTACACTGACAAAATGCAAAATGGATTTACAGACTAAGAAAACAAATTTACTTCATCCTACAATTGCGCAAGGTCAATTTAAGGCATCCCCTCCCCTGCCACCCTCATAGGCATTGCTGTACATCAGCTTCTTTGTTGCTAAATGCTCCTGACTGGAGGTTTTGGATTTTATTCCATCTCTGTGTTTTTATATAAATATTCCTCCAGGATGTATTTGAAGAGCAGCCACAGATGTTCATAGCAAAGACCAAGGCAGATTAGATTAAGAGAGAACTAACATTTGTGAGGGGAAATTCCTGCCAAACTTCTAATGCCTCTGGCTATTGTTATTTTGAGTTTGTTATTGGAGAATGGTTTATTTTAACATACTAGCAACAGTTGCTCAGTGGGCAAACCACAGGGGCTCAGTATTAATTGGCCATATTAAATTTAGATTGGTTCCTAAATACCCAAAGTCCATGATCTAGATTAATACTCAGACAATTCAAAAGCAGTAGCATTCTCCTTTTAAAAAGTGAGCTCTTGTTTTCTAAACATTGTGTTACCTCTATCCAAAGGAAAGGCGAGATGTTGGTAAGTGAGGCACATGAAAGGGATCCCAAGAGGTGCTTAAGGCTAAGGGAAAGACATCTTGTCTATGGGAAGAAGTGGTAGTTAACATTGTTTATGCCCAGAATGCTTTGGTGTGGTTCAAAATTTGAGGGCTTCAATTTCTAATACTCTATGGCAATACACTGGCAATATCTGATGTGGGTTCCAAAATTAAAGTAACCCTGAGGGAAACGGGAGGTCTAGAAACATGAAATACGAGCTGTCCTCGGTGCTGTCTGAGCTTGGTTGTTTTCTTGCAATGTTTCGTTACCCAAGCTAGGTAATATCATCAGTGCTAGTCAGTCATGATGTTACCTAGTTTGGATAATACAGTAAAACGTCTGCAAGGACTCCTCATTTCAACCCTGAATTACAAATATTCTCCTTTACTGGTAACATGAAATATAAACAAACAAACAAACAATACATTTTTCAATGTGCTTTTCTCCAATTATAATTTATGCTTAGTTATACTGTACCTTAAAAGGATTTGCTTCCTATAGTAATAAGACTGTTCTTCTGCTGAGTCCATAGCATTGAAGGAAATGTGCTAGTTGGCCTGAGCAGCATGAGAATCAATCACATATATGTGTGACTTCAAACATGTTTTTATCACATAAGATTTGGCCTTGACATAGTTCCAGTGTGGCAATTTTGCTTCCCTCCTAGATATCTAGAGTAGTATTGTTGTACAATAACAAACACATATATGTGAACGATGAGTAATGTGACCACATCTTAGCTAAGTCCACATGAATGTGACATGAATATCCTTGTTTCATCACTTAGCTATTCCAAATTGCCCCAAGATATTTTCTCCTCTAGAAACAATAGAAAACTAGCACATGAAAGGGGAAGCCACAGTTACAGAAGGACGATTTCAAAGAGAGAAGTGACAGCCAGGGAAATCTTCCCCTTTTTTAATGATGAAATAACCCATAATTCTTACAAAACAAAAACAGCATCTGAGCTTTATTACTAATTGGTTAGTAACTAATTAAAAATAATTGGTAATGAATGAGACTTCATAGGTTACAAGAAACTTGGAGAGATAAATACATAAGGCATCACATTTGTCTCTGCCTTATTATGGACTCTTGTTATGGACACACAGAGCCTTCAGATGCATGCAGTTTGTACAGGACACTGTAACTACATTATACATAAAATATGTATCTGGTTGTTGATGCTTATCAATGCTGCTAGTCTGGATTCCGAGAATGGAGAACCCCACTGAATTATGTAACATATCATCTCAATTGTCTGCAAGAAGTATTCAGGTTAGTAAAAGATATGGAAAGAAATTCAGTGAAATGAAAAACCTTTTGCAGACATTTTATTAAGATTAAGTAACCATGTTTGTACTTTTCATCATTAAGTTGTCACTTCTTATCATTGTATATATACATCAGTGGTTTATTTTTCTGATGCTTTCCAACATAGGCTGACTATTTGTGCGGTAACCCTTAGACAAGGATCTGCAGCAAACGCAGTCTTTTTAGTTAGTTTTTCAAAGTTCAAATGAATAGATATGTTGGTATTTTTAGAACTGTATTATATTTTTCATTCTACCTGAACAGTGGTAGATTACATTATTTAACCATATTTGATCAAACTAATATAAAGCATATATGAAAATAATTCTTTCTTCATGTCAAATAAACTATGTGTTTTAGAGAACAATTATAAAAATACAGATATGTTTTTCCACTAATCCTATTATTATCTATTATATTAGCAAGAACGTTATTACAAGTTTACATACTGAGTTGCATATTTCAGATAAAGAGGATCTGAAAGAGCTGTAGTGCACATTCTTTCTTAATTTTAAACTTTGATACTATTTGATACCTTGTTACCTCATTCATTGGGCATGTTAATTTCTTTAAACATGGATAAAATTTCAACATACTGGAAATCTTGAAATATCTATCATAAATTACTATTATTCAAAGCATTGTGTAAGAGAGGGGGAGGACAGATATCTAGCAATGCATTATTATTTTTATCGAAACAACTTACTACTCTATATCCCAAACAATGTGTTTAATTTAGCAGCCGGTAAGTGGGCCACTACTGTATTTCTAGGGCATCATAGAAGCAAAAGCTTCTGAATTCCAGGACAACAGAAACATCCACCCTAGGCACCAGTGTAATTCAATCCCCCAGACGGGCTACAACAGTACCTACCATACAAGAGGATGGATACTGATTTGTTTTTAAAGCCTTGCCCTCCCTCTTTACTCCACCAAATTTAACTAGTTGTAAGCAGATGACAGAAGGATATGGCACATAAATATTTAGAATGCACAGAGGAGGAGTGTAGTTCTACATAGGAGCTATGAGGAAAGGAAAACTGTGCTCTCTTGCAATCTGGGATTGTGGGCAACAGTTCATCTTTCTTCAAATACTGCTTACAAATATTTCAAAAATTTCAGAACAATCAACAGCTATTTTGTGTTTTCGCAATCAACTCCCATGGTTTCTTTTGTTGAAAGTATAGTTAAGCAGAAAGAACTCTACAAACACAAATTACAGGATCTGATGACGGGCTATATCAGGACCAATAATTGATTATCTCTTGTGTTTTTAAGCCATCCAGCAAGTGAAGTTCTCTGTAGAGTGCACAATCAAATTGAGATATGACAAAACCGTGACATTCTGATTAAGTGGTTCTTGGGTCAGAAAAATGTTGTTTTGAATGGCAGGGCACTCCTTCAATTCCCCTCGGTCAGTGGAGGCAGATGTGTTCTTCTGCAAGTTTTGGTTGATCAACCAGGTGGGGCCGTTTGTAGATAAAATTAGTTAAGTACTACAATTTCTTCTTTGATAATTTCCTCTTGGAGGAATCTAAATGTGGCATAGTAGGTACAAAGTGGGATTAGTAGCAGGGAAATTGAGCTTTAAGTTCTCATTCAACCAGAGAAACTCAGTGGGTGATTTGGGGTCAGTCAGCTTAGCCTATTTCACAAGAATTATTTTCCATGTGGAAAAAAACTGGAAGATGGAACAAAATGTATGCCATCTTAGTACCTACAGAAAAAAGTGGGATCTAAATTCATGAAATAAGGTATTTTTCATTAAGCTTTCCTTGAAGACTATCTTAAAAACTTTAATTACCTGCCAGAATTTTAACCACTGGGCTTGATGTTTCATATAATTCCAATATTAAAATAGTGCACTATGGTAGTTGCCAGTTTGTTTTCAGGCCTTTTCAGTATGTTTCATATCTCATAAGTATACAACAGGATATCTCAAAAGTGCTTTCCTTATTGTCATTGCCTTTCTTATCAGACTTAATTACATTAATTAATTACTACATAATTACAAATTATCCCTGAAGAGATATGCCTGACTTTTAATTTACTTTTTTGAAACATTCAAGATATATTTTTTATACCTGGGCATGTGTATGTATAAAACAACTCAGCAGATCTTCATAACTGAAGTTTAACAGAGAAGTTATTTATTACCTTTTGTCATCACTATTACATGTTTTATTGTATTACATTAACTTTTCCAATCATTTATTATATATGTTATACATTGCCCATGAATCTGTTTGAAGAAAATTGTTACTACAACTGAATAAAATGAAAATATATCAATGGAGGAATCCAATTATCTGGTCTGACTGCATAATCAGCATGGAGGTTCTGAGCTAGCCTCTTGAACCCTATGGGGATTTCCCTGCAACACAACAGCCCTTACTTTCAAGTCACTATTCATATATAGCAGGGGTCCCCAACCCCCGGTCTGAGGATCAAAGCAGTCCACGGCATGCCAGAAACTGGACCACGCAAGCAAGCAAAACTCATCCACAGGATGCAAATAGCACACGAAACCACACCTTCTCTGGAAAACCTCTTTCTACAGAAGCGGTCCCTGATACTCAAAAGGTTAGGGGCTGCTGATATATTGGCTCTGGGGTTGTGCAAATACTGCAGTTCCTTCTGGTGTAGTGCATGCAGCTGTTGTGTGTGTTTTTTTAAATACTTTCTACTCACAAAAGCGACAAAGAAACAAGCTGGCACAAGAATCTGGCGGCAGTGTTGCTAGTTAACAAGTACAATGACGGACAAATTTCAGGATTCTAGTAAATTTTCCCATGACAATTTCTACCTTGCATTGCTCAAACTGATGAAGTATCTCCATTTCAAAAGGCGGGAATCCTCTCTTTTTCCCTAATACAAATTTAAAGTGCAAACAAGTTTTCCTTCATCAATCTACTTTTTGAATAGTGAATTCCCATCATATTGTAAAAAACTTTATTGCAGCTTTTGGCCAAGGAATATATTCACTTAGGAATTTAATCTGCATGGGTGGGCTGAGCAAGTTTTTCCCTTTCTTACCTCTAACAAACACGTAGGTGCTGACAGCAGTGGTGCCTTCTATTTTGGCATTGATGTACTTGTAGTAACAGCGGTAGTAACCTGTATCATTGGCTTGAGTCCCAGTCAGTGTCAAGACTTTGCAATAGGGCTTTGCATCAGTGCCCTCACAATCTTCTTCCTTGACTGTTCGGATGTCGTTGGCACTCACTACCACTGAGTCACTCTCCTTTCCCGTTTGGACAGTGTCTTCTTGAATGCCAGGCCACAACCATTCCAAAGGATGTTGTCCTCTTTATTTGGCCAAGAGAAGAGAATGAGAGTTAGATGGATTACCATGTTCCTCTCTAGGACAAATCTTGTGTTCTAATATTTTCCCCTCCCATTCTTTCTGCCAGCAAAGTCACATTGGAAAGTTTTCTAAACTGTAATAACAGCCTTGATGCTTTTTATATTTTCCTGTTGGAAAGAGGAGAATAGAACTACAATTTGCAGAATATACTGGAAAGAAGAGATGACAGATGGAAGGAAGGAAGGAAGGAAGGAAGGAAGGAAGGAAGGAAGGAAGGAAGGAAGGAAGGAAGGAAGGAAGGAAGGAAGGAGTGCATCCAGTCAAATCTCTGCAGGAGCTGTGGTGGCACAATGGTTAGTATTGAAGGCTGGCTCTGGCCATAGCCAGCAGTTTGATCCTGACAGGCTCAAGATTGACTCAGCCTTTCATCCTTCCAAGGTTGGTAAAATGAGGACCGAATTGTTGAGTGCAGTATGTTGGCTCTGTAAACCAGTACTGTTAAAGAGTACTGTTGCTATTGTATAGAGGCTATGCATGCCAGCTGGACCAAGCAGCAAAGACTAAGACAGACATAAGTGGTAGTAGTAAAAGAGTCAAGAAAGCTAGATCTCTACCAATACTAGCTTTCCATTTGTGAGGTTTTTTTTTTTTTTGCTAATCAGATTCCCCCATGTGTCATGTACCAGGCTTCAAAATACTGTGATACTTTAATTCAAGCATTGAGAGATTCCTTCCATCTCTCTCCAAATTCTACAGCAGCTTTCCCCTACCTAGTGTCCTTTAAAGCGTAAGTCTCAAAATTTTTAGTTAGCACAGTCAAAGTTATATTGAACAATACACATGGAGGTTATCCAAAACTGTATGATACTGCAGTGCTTTGCAGACTTATCCATTATTCAGCACAGGGCTTTTTTTCTCATAGAACACCCAGAACGGAGTTTTGGGATAGAACCTTGTAGGGTAGGCAAGGCGGGTTGTATGACGTGTCTGAGTTCTGGCACCTTTTTTTTTTTCATAAAAAGCACTGGTTCAGCACACACATTACAAACTTTATAGGCCTATTTCCTAATTGCCAGCTAGAAAAATTGCAATTACAGTAGATATCCAGGGGATGATCCTTAGGAAGGGAGGGAGGGAGGGAGGGAGGGAGGGAGGGAGGGAGGGAGAGAGCAGTTAAAGGCTCCTTGCTTTTTAATTTTGACTACTGACAATTGCTCAGTTTTTTTATAAGCCAGAGTTGTCCCAAACTTTCATGCTTCTAATAATATTTGGTTGCTGTCTAGCCATGAGAAGTTGGGAGAGGAGACTGGCCAATTTTTTTCTTCTCTGGAATGACAAGCTGCCACTGCTGTAATATTATCTAATTGTAGATAGCAGTAACTTGCACCTCCTTTGGAATATTTGCTGATTTGACTGACACATGAAGTTGTGTAAAACAAGAGATGGGTAGCACCAGTTTCTTACACATTTCTGCTCTCAGTTTCCATAAGATAATTACATGGAACTTTGATACTGAAAGATATTTTCATAAATACTTTTACCCAGCTTTATAATATCATGAAATTATCTTCATCTGAAATGCTTTGAGGATTCAAGCCCTATTTGCATGGTATTAGAATATTTTAATAAATAAAACCCTATTTTTCACAGTGTCAAC